AGAGGTAGAGCTTGCTTGATCCCGGGCCGAAGCTGCACAGGCCAAGGCTGAAGTTGAGAAGACGAAGGCCACAGATGACAAGACCATTGCTATGTACTTAAGAGATGCCGAGGCTGTTCAAGCGGAGCTGAGGGAGGCCTCCAACCAGAAAAATCGGAGTAATGATTTGGCCAAGTGCCAAGCCCGGAGGGAGACTCTCGAAGAAATCCACGCTCGAGGGTTCGACCTTGCTGAATAGATAGCCGAAGCAAAGACGCGGGAAATTGATGCCAGGTTTCTTGTCTCTTTCGATGACGAGGATGTTGTGAGTGGTTCCGGGGAAGGGGAAGGTGAAGAAGGTGCCTTTGAGGAAGAGGGGGTTCCCGAAGACAAAGCTACCGAGGGTGCAGTTCCTGAGGATGGCGTTTCCGGGGATGTGACCCCGAAAATAGATTAGGTTCTCTATTTCTTTTTGTGTAAGGGCCCCTCGTGGGCGTTGTATATATACTTTGTAAATCAACTCTTGTGAATATAAGGAACCTTTTTGCTTTATCTCCAATTTGGTGTTGAATTCTGTTTTGTCTTCACCTGTGAGAAATTTTACTGTATAACTCTAATGATTAATCCGAATACTGGACTTAGAATATAATAAACCCTTAGGTTTTTTGTTGATTAACACAATACCTCTTAAGGTTTTAGTTAATCCTCGAGCTAAGCTTAAATCAATTCAATGCGAGTTCAGAATAATAGTACTCTTGAGTTCGAGTTGAGTGAGAACGAGGTCTCAAACTCTATATATTTTGGCCTTTAAGCTATTTTAAGTTGGACCTTAGGCTCTTATATATCGGCCCTTATGCTCTTTAAGTTGGGCCGATTCGGCCTCTAAATTGGCTATAATTTTTCCCTCTTTTCGGCTAAAAGACTTAGTGAAAATTTTGTATGTCTTAGCATGTGTTTTTTGTACCTGTTGGGTTTTTTGAGGGTTCGACATATCGAAACCGTATTAGTAACTTATTTGTGTAATGATAATCGAATACCTCCTGAGGTTTTTTGGAAGGCTGATATTATCGAAGCCTTTAAATTATTCGAGGGCTGAATTTATCGAAGCCCTTTATATTTTGCTTTTGCCGAGGGTAGCCTGATTTAACCGGTTTTTTCAAAGTGTTTGAAGGCCTTTAATTTATGGAGAAAGTCAGACGTCTCCGAGCCGCATTATTTTGGCCGTAGCCTTTTTATATGACCGTAGTCTTTAATATGGTCGTAGCCTTGGGGTATGTCACTTGGACTTGTTTCCCGATAACCTTTCGAACTTGTCCAAAAAGGTAGTCCCCGAGTATATTGGCCTTGGCCTTTATTTCGAGGGGATGTCTCTATGAGGTCTTATGAGTCCGAGTTTTCGATGACTCAAATGTGCTGACTATCGATGACAGTCCCCGAGTATTCGGGGGTGTATTCGCGTTCTGGCTCTTGAGTCGTTTCCCGTAGGATTATAAGTGTAGAGCTTCATATAATAGTAGACTTCTTTTGAAACACAAAGTGTTTTTGATATAAACAGAATGCTTCTTCAAATAATTGATACATGCATACATGTTTTGCCGTCGGGTCTCGACTATTTTATATGGACACGGTTCATCTAACCGTTTGGCCCATTACAAAGTTCTCCTATCGAGGCCCTCTTAGGGGTGAAGTATTTTCCTTGAAATTATACCTCCGAGGGTGATGACCCCCAGTATTCGAGGTTACTTGAAAAGAAGCCTTGGATACTCTTGAGTTTTCCTTAGGTAGCACATAGTTGTTGCCTCGTTAAAAACTTTGCCGGTAAAACCCATTTGGGACAAAATATGAGCTAAGGGAAAAAGAGTGCAACACATTAAAACCTAAGGCCTTCGTGTAAAGATGTGCCTTCTATAGCTTCGATCGAACACCTGCAATGAGTTAGTTTCGAATTCAAGAAAGATACATTCATACCTTAGCAATAGTATCGTTTGAGTAACGATATGTTCCAATTGTTTGGCAGTTCTTCACCTTCCATTGTGCCAAGTTTGTAAGATCCTTTACCGACAACTCCGATGGCTCGATACGGTCCTTCCTAATTTGGGCCTAGTTTCCCTCATTAAGGTTTCGAGTGTTGAGGGTGACTTTCCGTAGGACTAAGTCCCCGATTCCAAAATGTCGAAGGTTGGTTCTTCTATTGTAGTATCTTTCGATCATTTGCTTCTGCGCGGCCATTCGAACAAGCGCTACTTCTCGCTTTTCATCTAATAACTCGAGGACAACATTCATGGCCTCCTGATTTGTCTCCTCCGATGCATACCAAAACCTGGAACTGGGTTCTCCGACCTCGGCGGGGATGAGGGCCTCGGAGCCATATACTAGAGAAAACGGGGTGGTCCCCGTGCTAGACTTCGATGTTGTCCGATATGCCCAAAGGACCTCGGGTAAAATTTCTCTCCATTTTCCCTTTGCATCGTCTAACCTTTTCTTCAGGTTATGAATGATAGTTTTGTTTGTTGACTCGGCCTGTCCATTTCCAGTTGGGTGATACGGTGTTGATAATATCCTCTTTATTTTATGTGCCTCGAGGAACTGTGTCACTTTGTTGCCGATGAATTGTTTTCCATTGTCACATACAATCTCGGCAGGTATCTCGAACCGGCATATCATGTGATCCCAAATGAAGTCAATAACTTCTTTTTCTCTGACCTTCTCAAAAGCATGTACTTCCGCCCACTTAGAAAAATAATCAGTCATAAACAAAATAAATTTAGCTTTACCAGGGGCCGTTGGTAAAGGGCCGACTATATCCATTCCCTAATTCATGAAAGGCGACGGGTATAGGACCGAAATCGTTGGCATTTATCACATTATTTGAAAAATTCCTTAGTATCTTTGTCCATTCTATCTTAGTAATACCCCGCTCTGATAATTTTGCGAACCAAAGACTCGGCGCCGGAGTGATTTCCACAAGTACCTTCGTGGACCCTCTCGTAAAACATAATCGGTATCCCTCGGCCCTAAACATACTGCCAATGGCCCATCGAACGTTCTCTTGTACAATGTTCTGCCCTCGTCTAATGCAAACCTAGTAGCCTTGGTTCGTAAGGTCCTCAATTCTTTATGGTCCGATAGGAGTTTGCCATCTTTCAAATAATCGATGTGCTTATTCCTCCAGTCCCAAGTCAAACTTGTTGAATTTATCTCGACATGACCCTCCTCAATCACGGACCTCAATAGTTGGACGATAGTACCCGGGACGATGTCATCTTCATTGACCGAGGATCCCAGATTAGCAAGTGCATCAGCCTCGCTATTTTGTTCTCGAGGCACATGATCTAGAGTCCACTCCTTGAAGCGGTGCAAAGTTACCTGTAGCTTATTCAAATACCATTGCATTTTATCCTTTCGAACTTCAAAACTTTTATTTACTTGGTTTACCACTAACAGTGAATCGCACTTAGCTTCAATGACCTCTGCTCCCAAGCTCTTGGCTAGCTCGAGACCTGCAATAATGGCCTCATACTCGGCCTTATTATTAGTCAACCTAGAAGTTTTGATAGATTGTCTAATGGTACTACCCGTAGCTAGTTTTAAGATGATGCCAAGCCCAGACCCCTTTACATTTGAAGAACCGTCCATGAAAAAGGTCCATACCCTTGATGATGTAGCCGAGCTCAGCAAGATTTCTTTTTCCACTTCGGGTACAAGGATCGGCGTAAAATTGTCCATGAAGTCAGCTAGAATTTGAGACTTGATGGCCATTCGAGGTTGATATTCAATATCGCACCCGCCAAGTTAAATGGCCCATTTGTCCAGCCGGACTGATAGCTCAGGCTTATGCAAAACATTTCGAAGGGGGTATGTGGTTAATAAACATATGGGATGACATTGAAAATATGGCTTTAGTTTTCTAGATGCGCTTATCAGTGCAAGTGCCAATTTTTCTAAGTGAGGATATCTGGTTTCAACTTCTCTTAGAGTTTGGCTTACATAATAAACAGGAAATTGCGTACCTTGCTTTTCTCGAACTAGCACCCCACTTACCGCTATCTCGGATACTACCAAATATAGGTAAAGTTTTTCAATTACCTTCGGGGTGTGAAGCAAAGGCGGGCTCGATAGATATCGCTTTAATTCTTCAAAGGCTTGCTGATTTCGGGGTCCATGCGAAGTCCTTTTTCTTTTTGAGCAAGGAAAAGAACCAGTGACTCCGATCTGATGACCTTGAAATGAATCGATCCAAAGCAGCTATTCGACCTGTTAACCTTTGCACGACCTTCACACTATCTATGATCGTGATATCCTCAATGGCCTTGATCTTATCGGGGTTAATTTTGATATCTGGGTTCGACACCATGAAGCCGAGGAACTTACCCGAGATGACTCCGAAGGCACATTTCTCTGGATTAAGCTTTATATTGTATTTTTTCAAAATTTTGAATGTTTCCTGCAAATGAGTCAAATGGTCCTTTGTGCGTAGGGACTTAACCAACATATCATCAATGTAAACTTCCATTGTTTTACTTATTTGTTCTTCGAATATTTTGTTAACTAGGTTTTGATATGTAGGTCCTGCATTTTCTTAACCCCAAGGGCATTACGTTGTAACAATAAGTTCCAAATTTAGTAATAAACGAAGTCTTTTCCTGGCCCTCCGGGTTCATCTGAATTTGATTGTATCCGGAGTATGCATCGAGAAAAGTTAGGATCTCGTGGACGGCTGTGGCATCGATCATACAATCGATGTTGGGCAGTGCAAAAGAATCTTTCGGGCATGCTTTATTCAAGTCCTTATAGTCTACACACATTCTAAGTTTGTTTCCTTTTTTTAGGAACTACAACTACATTGAGTAATCATTCGGGGTACTTTACCTCCCGAATAGACCCTATTTTAAGAAGTTTGGTTACCTCGTCCTTTATGAATGCATGTTTCACCTCGGACTGGGGCCTCCTTTTTTGCTTCACCGGTTTGAACCTAGGGTCGATGCTTAACTGATGTGTAGTGATTTCCGGTGTAATCCTTGTCATATCTAAATGGGACCAAGCAAAGCAGTCCATATTATTAATAAGAAACTGAATGAGTTTTTTCTTGAGTTCGGGGGTTAATCCCATCCCTAGGTATACCTTTCTTTCGGGCATATATTCGATCTGTATAACCTGCTCCAATTCCTCTATCATTGACTTAGTTGCATTGGACTCTTCAGGAACGACGGAAGTTCGAGGAGTAAGGAAATTCTCATCTTCGTATTCGATTACCTGTTGTTTCGATTCCGTCAAGGCTGGAGGCAGTGATTGCTATTTGGCTGCATGTTTACCTTCGATGCTCGATTTCTGCGAGGTCGATGGCTCTGGTATCGGTACCACTTCCTCGATTGCAAACATCTCCTTTGCAGCATGTTGCTTTCCATAGACTGTTTTCACTCCTTACTCTGTTGGGAACTTTATCATCTAGTGAAGAGTTGAAGACACTGCCCTCATGTTGTGTATCCACGGTCTCCCGAGGTATGCGTTATACCTCATGTCACCTTCAATGACATGGAACTTCATATCTTGTATGGTACCAGCTGCATTTACTAACAAGATAATTTCTCTCTTTTTTGTTTTGCTTGCCATGTTGAAGCTATTTAGGACCCGGGATGCACGTACAATCTGATCTTGCAGATCGAGCTGTTCTACGACCCTCGATCTGATTATGTTTGCTGAGCTACCTGGATCCACTAAAACACGTTTAACTTGAATTTTATTTAAAAGGATAGAAATTACCAGGGCGTCGTTGTGTGGCTGAGATATACCTTCTACTTCTTCGTTATAAAATGATAAGGCGTCCTCGAGGTCATAGCTCCGAGTCCATTTTACTTTGGTGCGTTTGAATATAGGTCGTTGAGGTACATCAACTCCGCTAATGATCATGTGGATTACATGGTGTGGTTCCTCTTGCTCATTTTTCCTTGCATCTCTCTCCCTGAAGTGGTTTTTGGCTTGATCACTGAAGAATTCTCGAAGGCGACCCTCATTAAACAATCGAGCTACCTCCTCTCTTAGCTGCCTGCAATCTTCGGTTTTATGACAATGTGTGCCATGATGTTTGCACATCAAGTTTGGGTTCCTTTGAGAAGAAACGGTTTGTATGGGCCTAGGCCACCTGGTGTCTTTGATTCTTCCAATAGCTGACACGATCCCTGATGCATCTATGCTGAAGTTATACTCTGACAATCGAGGTTCCTTTACGGGGTCGGTATGCTTATCGAACCTACTCTTACTCATGAGTCCCCGAGAGCTTTGACCTCGATCATTTAGAGGAGCATTTCGACCCGACCCGTGGTTCCTATAATCGACATAAGGTTGATATCTCTCCTTATTCGATCTTGATTCCCTGTCCGCATCCCTCGGTGGCTTGGCTGCGAACCTGTTAGGATGAACTAAACCCGAGGGGCTCCCAACTAGTTGTCCTCGACCCTGGTTTTTGATTGGTAACGGTTGTGCACATCTGATCATGTCACAGATGGATATCTGATCAAGTTCTACTTTAATTGTCGAGACGCAATCGAGCTCCTTTCATTCAAACCCTGCATAAAAGCTTGTACTACCCAGTCATACGAGATCGACAGTATCTCCATTCGCTCTATCTGAAACCTAGACACGAACTCCCTCAACATCTTATCGTTCCTCTGTTTTATCTTGAAGATGTCTGTTTTTCTCGTGGCCACCTTTATGGCCCCGGCGTGTGCTTTCACAAAGGCGTCGCTAACATAGCGAACAAATCAATAGAGTTAGTAGGCAAGTTGTGGTACCAAATCATAACTCCTTTCGATAGTGTTTCTCCAAACTTTTTCAACAAAACTAACTCGATTTCATTGTTATTCAAGTCATTTCCTTTGATCCCACAAGTGTATGAAGTAATAGCTCGTTGGGGTTCTATTGTCCCGTTATATTTGGGTACATCAGGCATGCGAAACATTTTGGGAATGGGCATCGAAACTGCGCTCTGAGGGAATGGTTTTTGTATGAACTTTTTGGCATCTAAACCTTTCAAAACTGGAGATGCCCCAGGTATTTGGTCAACACGGGAGTTATAAGTTTTCACTTTTTTATCATTGTCCTCAATCTTTTTTTCCCCGGACTCAATCCTTTTGGTGAGCTCTTCGAGCATCCTCATAATGGCGGGGTTAGTCCCCGAGTCATTTCCGCTTGATCTCTCCGACATTGGTTCGGCATGTCGAGTGTTTTCATGTTCAGCTACGCTCGGAGTCTTATTCTAACTTTGAAGTTGAGCGATGGCGATTTTCTGAGCTTGCAGCATCTCGAATATCATTTGGAGGCTGATTCCCCCATCTCTCATTCCTTGTGATCCTTGGCCACCAGATCGGGCTTCTCTACGTATATTCCCCCTAGGGTATGTGCCCAAATCCACGTTTAGAGCAATGTGTGAACTCACATCAACTAGTTCCATATTTGGCACTTCTCCTGGGTTTATCGGTGGTACACCGACCCCTGCATTGTTGTTTTCTCCAAGACATTCGTTGTCGTGAATAGGTGCATTTTGTGAGCTAGACATGTTTTAGCCTGAGAATCAAAAAATCATGACAAGAAAAAGTGTAAAAACAACGTGTGTAATGGGAATCAATAAAGAAATAATCACTATTATCTTTAGCCTCACGGTGGGCACCAAACTGTTTACCTCGATAATACGAGTAACAATTAAATTTGATCAGTGATTTTAAAGATATGTGATTTAGTTCAATACCAATTATCAATCAAGAAATATGAAGTCGAAATAAAAGAAAGTGAATCAAACCAATGTTACTCAGCAGTAGTGACCTCGAGATGAACTAAGAACAATAAATTAAGAGCAATAAATGTAAAGGACAATTCTGATGACAGTAGGCGAAAAATAGAGAGTATATTCTTTGCTCAATGATTAGATGATGTTAGAAATGATTGGGATCCCCTTTATATAATAGGGGAACCCTAAATAAGGTATATTTCTATTTACAGTAAGGAATATTCTTGGTACAACTGTCTAACCGCCTAGTACGGAATTGTACAATCCTATTCCGTGATTTGTGCCATCATCATGGGGACTTGGCAGGAATCTAGCTCATTCTGTTACAAATCCATAACGGTACTATTTCGGGGTCGAACATGCTTGGCCTCGATATTCCTCGTACTCCTATCTCCGATCGTTGCATTCTGTCTTTGAACTCGAGTCTGGTCCACCGGGCTCGAACTCGACCTTGCCCGGACTCGGGCTTAGGACGGACCCTCGAGCCTATAAGTCGAGGGCATATGGTTTTGACCGTTTACGCACACTAAAAGAAAATTCTAAGCTCTGGTGAGAAGAAGTTATTTTTTAGTACGTGAAAATGTGACTAGTGACAATGTTATACGAAATGTTACAATTCTGGTTCCTAATTAGCACCTATGATTCGCTTGAAAGCGTGTCTAAACTTGATATGTAGATGACTAATTAAAACTTACAATTTAGTGATATCGGTGCACTTTCTATGCATTAAGTATATATTTGATTCTCACTGTTTTCTTTCTCTTTTTTCTTTTACTTTTCGTGTAATGAATTCATATTTAATATAAAAATAAAAATCATGATGATGTATGAATAAGCATAGATGGGTGAGCCAGCGAACATTCAATCAAAATGCTGCGGCAAAAAATTGTACGTTTTCCTCTCAGCTATTAAGTGCATGAATCTCCATTATAAATGAATCCAAGCAAAGAGCATGAGAACAACCTGAAAACAAGGTAGAAGTGGACATATACATACTATTTGTACTATCCTCAGAAATAGCAAACTATGTCCTGACAAAACCATGGTTTTCACAATTAGGTTATTGCATTGCATGTACAAGGCGGTATATATTGACTACAAGATACCATGATATTTTTATTTAACACATGCCTTCCGGGACTGCTGCAGAGATATATGCTAAGAATAAAAGAAATTGTAAATTAAATCAACGAGTGAGCTGTGAGCACCTCGTGAATGCGGTAATGAAACAGGTGAAAATCATAAATTTTAATTTTAATTAGTAGAAACAAACAACTTTAGGTAAAAAGAAAAATTCCGTCTACTTAAACTTTTTATGAATAGTCTTATTCGATATAATATTAAATATGCGATGAAATAGTCCAAATATGAACAAAATTAATCAGAATTCCACTGTTAAAGAAAAAACTTGGAGCTGATGGAGTAAGGTGGTGGAGTAGTGGATACTGTCCTTATATAAATTAATAATTCCATTCTGGGCTGCGGAGCCTAGTTATTTGGACCCCAAGATAGCCAAGCATGAATAAATAAATGCCTTGTTAGTGCTAACAGTATCTGCATCTCTGAATGACTGAATCTGCACATGATCACTAGAACCATGTATTCTGCTCAGGGCAATTTCTCTCTACTTACTTTAATCTAGAAATATACCAATTTTTTTGTAGGACAACCAAGGTTGGTATACATAAGTCACAAAAACCAGCCTGTAATTTATCTTCTTCTCTCTTGTGTCTTTTGGTGCAAGTCAAAATAACATACGTCACCAGTGCTGTCATATTTTTTTAACCATCTTGTATCGGGGATCAGTTGATTAGATTAATCTAAATTTACATTACATAGGGTCTACATCAAGAGTTTCTTTGTTACCAAAATTAGAAGTTGAGATCTTTGGTTAAAAGCCAAGGTATTCACCATATTCCGTAGTGGTATATCAGTATATCATCATGTACTATAACCGATAGGGATCGTTTGGTAAATTGTATAAGAATAATATTGTATATGTTGTATTAGTTATACTTGCTTTAGTTATGCTAACATATTTCTTATACATCGTTTGTTTTGATGTATTAAAGTATTGCGCAATTTCTAAAAGAATTGTTTGTTTACAAAATACTCTGATAACCAGTCTATCACTTTAACTTTTTAAAAGAAACATATGCTGAGTAATGTTGTTATATGAAAAGGGTTTTTTAAAAAAGTACTTATTTGATTTGTCTACTTATATTGTTGTTCAATTGAATATTTATTTATAAAAAAAGAAAATATGCTAAGTATTTATTTATTTAATAAGGATATATATAATTTTATTTCCCATTTTCTTGGATTATTTCAAACTTATGTTAATACAGTAGTATATTTTTATCAAGCATAAATTTTGAAGGATAATTTTATCGTTAACTAAGCAAATGCACGCATTAAATCCCATTGCATTGTTAATATCATGGTTTCTTATACATTAGTTATGCATAGAATATTAATACCAAATAGGGTGTATAACTATTGCTTGCATAACTAATGCATAATTTCAAAAAGTGTACCAAACAATGTATTATTAATACACAAAGCTAATGCATGCATTGTTTTATTTAATGCATCCTATCAAGATATATATGTTTATAGTCCGAATTATGTTGTCGACAAATCGTGATTTGGGTAAGGCAAGTTGCAATTTTTATTTTGCTATATTGTTTGGATACCTGCAACATAATGAGAAGGCATTCAATCATAGTGGGGTATAGCTATATGAAGGTGGTGAAAGAAATTGATAGTGGGGAGCCAATCATGAGAGTAAACAATGAATTTCTCACCTTCTGGAGAAATTAATTCCTACTGGAAATAAATAGGATCCATGATTTCTCAAGTTCAGGATAACAATATTTAGTAGAACATGAATCCTGCAATAACAACTGTCCAGATCCTAATATGTGTCATGTGTGTGTGCCCAAGCGCTAGCTAGTAGTGCATTCATTATGTCATGCAAAATTTTGACTCAGATTCTCAATGCATTATTTTCAGAAATTAATATAATGACATAGCCGTCCTTGACTCCTGGAATCATCACTACTGTCAGCTATGCCCATTCCATCCTTTTCTCATATAAAATAATGCGACGGATTTATATTTTTTGGTGTATTAAACTAAAGACTACTGCAGTTCTTATGTTACCAAATCAAGATATGTACACAGTTATCTCTATTACTTGTTTTTTGTAGGTAATCTTAATCTAATGGTAAAAAAGATAATTATATTTACACTGTTAATGTACAAAGGTTAAACTCAAATTAATCCTCAGATACAAAAAAAGGCGATCATGCAATTAAAAGAATATGCTAAAAAAAATATAGTACTAGTTCATTGTATACGAAGAATGTAGAAATGCTCTCCAAGATTCGTAGCCCTATTCTTCTTTTTCCTTTATTTATTTTTTGGTGACAAATGTGCTGTATTTCTCGATGCATGCATCTTCTATTGATCAGTTACACACTTTTAGCCACTCGTAAAAACTCAAAGAACTTTCCTACCAAGTCAGATTTTTCTCATGAAAAGATTCACATTTGTATGCCAAAATATTCTCAAATTCACATGAAAAGCAATTAGGTCGAGCAAAGTGTTTGAAGGTCAAGGTTATACTGAGCAAGAAACAACAACATATCGCATATGTACCAATTATAAGGCGAAATTTTGATACAAAAAGGTGGAAGGATAAGCAAAAAAGATTAGCATAAAGCTCAACACAAAGCTTATTCACAAAAATCCAGCAGAAAATACACATCTGTTGGACCACATATTTAACATCTAAGGACCTAGACACTTTTTGTTGAGGAAAATTTCTGGAGAGTCAGGATAACAGTATGCATCTTTATGAATTAAGGATATGATGTTGAAAGTTTTCTTATAAAGTCTGTCAGATTCAGATGTTGTGATAGCTACACAACACAATCAGGGATAAGATGGCTAATTGTATTTTGAATTTAAACTATTTTCATCTTCTTTAATGAGTGAATAATTGGTTATTCCTTGTTATCAAATGAAACAATGCAGCCCTTTGTTTCTTTTCTTCTAAAAGTAAAATATAAGACGTGACAAAAATTATAAATGATTTCCTTGCAGAAATTGGAATGTTTGCCCCTTAACTAGTCGATAAGATCATTAAGCTCTCAACCCCAAATAGCATAAGAGAAGGATTATAATCCAACTACAATAATTATATCTCAATTCTATGCTAGTTTATTTTAAATTTAACAATTAACCTTATCACTATCTTACTTTTTGTGTGTGTTTGAATCGACCATGTGAAGAAGCTCACATAGGCAAGGTTAGATTAATGTCCAATCAAACTAACGAGTCAAGTGAGTCAAATGACTAGCTAGTCACTTCCCTAAGACCCTATAATAGTCCAATAAGCTTATCCAAGATTACGAATCACTGGACTCTGATGTACACAAATAATCACTCTTAGAACAACAATTTAGAAATTAGCCAATACTTTTTTTCTGAAAATTTAAGTTAAAGTTTTAATTTCAGGACAATTCAGCACAATTGTGTCCCGAAAAATTAAACTAAAAACTGAAAAGTCATAACACATTAGCTAATTCTTAAATAGTAGCCATTTAGAGTGGCTACTTGGTGTCATTTCTAGACTTGCTTGTCCCCTATAAACCTTGGGGATCTTTACACAAATAACCAGACATATTCTTTATTTATTTTTTCTAACCATATACATAAATTATATATTTATTATACATATATTATACGTCCACTGGCTATTTTTAGTTTAAGTGTTTGGGTGGACGACTATTTGGGTTAATTCTTCTAAACGGAACCTAAACCCCTAAACCTTATTCAGGATTTCAAAGATGGGCCATATCTATTAAGCTAAAGAATGGATAAAAAGCCTAGCAACTAAGAGAACCTAGTCCAGATTTGAAGATAAATCCAATAATATAAGGGATAATTACACAATTAGTCGGTAAGATNTATATACACATACACACACACACATCCGCTGGCTATTTTCAATTTAAGAGATTAAGTAGACTGCTATTTGGATTAATTCTTCATAATATAATGAGACATCCCATAAAACGGGGAAAAAGTACAACTGCAGAAAGACCTTAAAAAGAAACAGGCCCAACTTGAATATTTTGAAAAGGTAAGCATGTACATTCAAAAATAACTAGATTTACAAGTGGTAATTGAAAAATGTCATGACCCATTTCCTGAATAAGTCATGACCGGCATCCGATCACTAAACTTGACCAAGCGAACCATCTGCGCTTATCAAATCTATTATAACTCAAACTTTATATGCAACAAGGCAATACTTTAACCAAATATTTTTAATTAATTTAAATATCTAAAATAAACTAACTCCAAAACTTTGCTCGTAGTAACCACTGAAATACTGCTAAGTTATTATCAAAAACATTTGAAACTTAACCCACCGACTATGTCTATGAAACCTCTACTGATAAACTGACGCACTACTCAGGACATGAGATTGCCCGGCTAGTTCTCCAAGTAAACAAAGAAATAACTAAATAAAGATGACTCAAAGGAATACTCCATGAACAAAAGCGGAGCCCACCAATAGCACTGGAAGAGAGGGAGTCCTAACTTGTAGCCTGATCTCATGCAAAATCGATTCCTACATTGTACCGCAGACCAACATAGAGATAGTAACAACCCGACTTGAGCTCTTATCAACTATCTTGGTAGATACCCATTTGGTCTTGAGAAAGCCAAATTGACGTAAGTTCCCAAAAGAGAATGTCAGTACCATCCATTATACTTAGTGAGTATCAATGACAGATACAACGACCAAAAACTAATTGTCGGTAAATGATTTTGCGGCCATTTCTATTGCCGCTAAAAAGTATTTTACTAAAAGCCTTTTTTGTTATAGTGACAATTCCAAAATAATTGCATAATAACATTTTATGAATATTCTAAAGAAATTCTTTTCTTTTTCTTTCTTATAAAAAAATACTTCAATTTATACTTCGGGAGTTTCAACTATTTTGAGTTATTTCTGTCTTAATCACCGTGTGATCGACACGGGTTCGATCCCAACCTGATCGAATAGGCCCAATCCACGAGGTGACACTCGCTTCATGGTTCTCAGCGCTCGTGTATCATACCTTAGTCTGGCTAAGTAAAGTCTCAGCAACGAGACCCTCGGCTCGTGTGCTCCCTACTTTGGCACAAGTAGTTTCAGGAAGTCAATGCCTTGGTCAGGATCCTCGGCCTGGACGATGAACCTTTCTCAGAATAGAGGATACCCCCAAAAAGAATTCTTTCTAAAACTTCTTCTTGTGACTTTTCAAGTATAAATCTTTTGTGGAACATCCTATACATACTCATATTGTTATCCTTAAATGTAAAACATTGCATAAGAATGAAATAAATATTCAAAAGTATTTCTAAAGATTGTTTCTTCTTCATAAATTTTCAACATGAAAATGGCATATAAGAATAACACAAAAATCTTAAAATTTATGCACATATATCATAATAAATCATCTAAACTTTAGCTAGAACAATTCTAAGTTAATAGGTACTCACTCGATCCGATTAAGTACATATTAACGATTTTAAGCAATTCATCAATACCTTGTATGCGTACTTTTGTGAGTTAAAGCACTTTAGTAGAGGGTTGTATCAACTCACCTCAAAACTCCTGGAGCCAATACGTAGGCCTCATTCCAATTTATACCTGACCAAGGCACCCCACGGTGAAACACTCGGCCTGCTGATGCCCTTATCAATATGGTCTTTCAACTGTTCTCTTGACTCATTAAGTTCTGCTAGAGTCATCCTATAAAGAGGTATAGATATGGACTGAGTACCTTGTATGAGATCAATGCTAAAGTCTATGATTCTTTCACGAGGAAGTCTAGAAGATCATCTGGGAAAACTTCTAGAAATTCTCTAACAATTGGAACAGACTGAAGAGCCGGTGGTTATGATTCTGGATTAATGATGTAAGCCAAATAGGCGAGATACCCCTTACCGATTATTCGTTGTGCCTTAAGGCAAGAAATAATCTTACCTACAAGCGATGCGGAACTACCCTTCTACTTTAAGACTTCTTCATTTTGAAAATGGAACCTGACTATCTTGGCACGACAATCTAACATGGAATAGAGGAAGACTACCAATCCATACCCATGTTCACATCGAAATCCGTCATTTCTAACTCTATGAGATCAGCCTCGGTGTTGTGACCTTGGACTAAAACTATACAACCTTTATAGACTCTTGTGACTTTCACTGACTTGCCAACTGGAGTAAATACTAAGAATGGATCACTAAGTTATTCAGGTTCTAGCCCGAGATGAATTTCAAAGTATGGAGTCACGTACGAAAATGTTGAACCTGGATCAATTATGGAATAAGCATTATGTGAGCAGACTAGAAGTATACATTTAATAACTTCTACAAATGCCTCTGCACTCTGACGATCAAGTGTAGCGAACAAACGGGGTTGTCTCATGCCCTCAGTAACTCGATCTGCACCTCTGTCCGCCCCATGCTCGGTCTGATTATGATAGCCACAAGCCTGAGGTGGTGTAACTATAGTAGCCGAGGAACTAAAAGGACGAGTTGATCCCCCATTAAAATTACGTCGCGACTTTGGGCAGTTGGCCTTTATATGACCAATGTCTCCGCAAAGATAGCAACCGTGAAACCCAAGCTTGTATTGACCTGAATGTTGCCGCTTATATGTACCATAAAGACCTTGTTGTTGTGAATGTTGCTCAACATGACTCTGGCTATATGAGGATGGTGTCCTAAAATTTTGATTCTGGCTAGACTGGTTCCATAACTCTGAGTACGTCTGAAGTAAGACCCACTACCTGACGGATGATTTGGTTGGACTGGTGCTAATGACTCCTTATTAAAGGAACCCCTTCCTCCTCCGCTGGATGTACCTTTAAACCCACCTGTTGTCCAATCTTTCATGTTATGCTTTTTTTCTTCTATGCTCTGTTATCTATTTTTTTCTAAGTACTTGGCGAATCCCACAACAGAGAAGAAAGCTGTCATTTTACGGCTGAAGTTGATGTCGTATCCTTAATGTGGTAAGCAAAACCGCTAACATACCTGAAGATTTTTGATTTTTCTGTCTTGTCCATGTGAGGAGCATGCTTAGCCAAACTTATGAATTCCATGTAGTACTCTTGCACACTTTGATTCCCTTGTTTAAGCTGCTCGAAGTCTGTAGCCTTAGCTTCCCTATCCTCTTCTGGTATAAAATTAGCCATGAAGGCCTCTTCAAATTCTTCCCCAAGTAGGTGGACCATCATCTTTATCTCTTTCCTTTTCCCACATCTCAAACCAAGCGCCAACCACATCTCTAAGCTGGTAGGCAGCTAGCTCTATAACTTCATCACTAAATGCCTTCATCGTTCGGAGGGCTTTCTTGACACCCTCCAGCCATAACATTGGATCTTCATTAACTATAGTACCACAGAACAATGGAGGACTCAGCTTTAAAAATTCATTTACTCTTGAGGACTTAGAATTGTTCTGTCTATTTAATTGAGGTGGAATCTCATCTCTTCTCTCGTTCTGGTTGGCCATGAAGGCTTTAAACATCTCCATAGCATTGTTGACAGCATTAAACATCTGACCCATCTCTGAAGATATAGCTGTCACACCTCCTTTTCCGCCCTCGCGAGGGGTACAAAAGTTTTTTCCAATTAAAGGACAGTCGAAACGGGATTTATTTATTTATTTCAGAGTCGCCACTTGGGAGATTTAGGGTGTCCCAAGTCACCAATTTAATCCCGAATCGAGGAAAAGAATGACTCCATATTATAGTCTGCGTTCCAGAAATCCGGATAAGTAATTTTGTTAACCCTGGAGAAGGTGTTAGGCATTCCCGAGTTCCGTGGTTCTAGCACGGTCGCTCAACTGTCATATTCGGCTTATTTATCTGATTTTAATACAATTATGAACCGGTGTGCCAATTTTAACTTTTTACCACTTTATTATTTTATTTTTTTAAAAGAATGTGAACATCGCTTAAAACACGTCTTTGGACTGCGTCACATGAAATGCACCCACAATCCGGAACACATTTTATTTGATGTTTTGGGATTTGGATTTGGGTCACATGAAATGCACACCCAAGCTTAAGAAAGTGAACTATTAAACACGCGCCTAAAGAGACTATCGTGTTATTATTTTGGTAAGGCCGTGAAATTCGCTAAACGGACCTCCCGAATTCTAAGTAATTAGCACATATATTTTTGTGAGGGCTCAGCAATCTGTGTGTTTTATTTGGCGAGGCTCATCTCATTTATTTTAAAAAGACAATCCTAAAATGCCTACATTATTCTCTATTAAATTTGTCTCTACAAAATAAAATAAAAAATGTCTTAATTTATTTACATGCTANNCAGCAACAACAGCCCAGGAACAGATTTGAAAATCAAAATAAAATCCAGAAACACCGACAACAAACAATGGACAGAAACCAAGGGAATTTTCAGATTTGAAAGGCTAATTAATGTTTAACCCTTAATTTCTAAACCCGTATATCAGAATATTTATCAGGTGTGTACTACTCTCTCTTCTAATTTTCAGTTCCCTTTTTTATTTGTAGTTTTCTTTTCTTTTCTTTTTCTTGGAAGTTTTAATATTTTTCGGAATTTTCTTTCTCTCTTAAATATTCATCTTTTTTTTTTTCTCTCTCTCTATCTGTCCGTCCTCTTTTTGTCCTCCCTAAAATCTGATCAAGCCTCCTATATATATCACATCCTCAAACCCTTTAATTAATTAATAAAACAACCATTTTCTCCTACCAAACCCATTATCTTCCCACTCATCCCCATTTTAATCCCACTAAATTAAACAAATATATCAACCCAACCCATTACATTTTGTCCCTCATGCCTAACATAAACAATTACCATATTCTCCTCCATTACATTATGTCTTGTCCCCCATTTATATTAAACAATTATATCACCCATACCCCATTACATTTTATCCCACATGCTTAACGTAAAGAATTATTCAAAATGTTCAATTCTCAAACTACCCCTCCGACCTTATTGCAATTACCATTTTACCCATGAACGTACTGCAATTTATCAAACTACCCCCATCAGCTATAACCAATCAATTAATCAAACTCAACCAAAATATAGCAAATATGACCAATTTCTAACAATGTTCAACAACAAATTCAAACTAAATGATGAACAACAAAGAAACAACTAAAATTATCTTGATTGAACAACATCTTTAACAACAAACAAACCTACTTTCAGATTCAACACCAACAAACATGTATATTCAGATTTCTAAATTCAATAATCATTTGAACTTAAAATTAAATCTAACAACATTACAACCAACAATTTCTATATTAAAACTAAACAAGATCATGAAGCAAGCTGAAGAAATAATCATAAATGATAAACAACAAACAAGAAAATCAAACTATACAAATTTCGGATTCAAGATCAACCAAACAAAGTATGAACATAAATGAAAAGATTCAACAATAATAACAAACAAACTTTATTCAAACTTCGAATTAAACTTAAACAAAACAAATAAACATATTCAAATCACTAATCTTCAAATAATCAATTAATCTTTCTTAATTAAATCCAACAAAAATTATAACAAAGATACATGATCCAAAAATTAAAACCAAAACATAACTCCACATTAAATCACTGAATTAAAAACGAACTTCAAAAAATGAATACGAATTAAATCTATATTAACAACAAACAACGGATTTAAACGATTTAAACTAACACCTTTCTATATTAAAACTAAATCCTTTTAAAATTAATAAAACAAACTGAAAAATAAT